CTGAACACTACTGAGCCATACACTTAAAAATGGTTAAGATGCTAAATTTTGTTACATGTATTTTACCACAATTAAAAATAAAACTAAGGATGTAAACTTCTGTATTTTAGGACTGCTAGAGTTCATGTGCCCTCCTCAGCATTAGAGTATAGGCCAATATAAAGAAACTTAGCCTAATGTTTTCCTTAAGCTGGCAGCATATTATTATATGCTGTTATCTGGTCCACTGTTACATCCCTGATAAAGAGGCTCAGATCCTGAAAAAGGCCAGGGAATTTGTTTAAATGTCTTTAACAACTGAGACAGGGAAAACGAGGAAAGAAGAAACAATGAGACTGGAGATGAGGCCAGAGACAGGCCATACTTTTAGCGGCAGTTATAGACAAACCAGGGCTGAAGCCACCTTAGGGAACCCCAGCAACCCCAGAAAAGGCTTTGGATGTGCAAGCCCAGACCACTGGAGTAAGGAGTGTCCTAATCCTGCGAAGCAGCCATGCCCCCTGTGTAAACTAAAAGGGCACTGGAGGAGGGATTGCCCCCTGTTCTGAAGAGAGGAGACCAACTCCTTTCCCAAAAATGACTGTGGTTGACTGGTGGGCCTGGGGCTCCCAGGGGCTCCCCAGAGGAAAAAGATCTGTTCCACAGAGGAAAGAGGCAATTCTCATCACAGGGGAGGAACTGCCGGTGACCCTTGATGCAGTAGGTAAGCCTGTTAATTTCCTGATTGATATGGGAGCCATTTATTCTTCCTTGACCACACACAGTGGACCTACTTCCTCTAAATACAAAAATAAATAAATAAATAAAACTAAGTTTAAAAAAACATTGTATTAAAAAAAAATGCGGTTTCTGGCCAGTAGGGTCTGCTTGATTCTCAGAATGTGGCAACTGCTGCCAGAAGGTTCCTCTGGGCAGTGGTTGCCCAATACAAGAGAATTTTCCCTCGGGATGTTTCTCCCTCAGCAGCCTTTAGGGCTTAGGCTGCTTGTGAAAAAGCTGGACAAACATAGGGCACCCTGGCTCTGGTCATACAGAACTCTCCTTCAACACAGTGCTTCACCAAACATGCTCCCTATGGTTGTCTATGGAAGATCAAAGAATGACACGTCAGTGACTCTAAAGGGAAATATTTGGCATGTCTCTTCTGTCCTCTGGATTTCACTTTGGCATGTTCTGTGGAAATTGCACTTTGTGACAGTGCAAATGCATTTCACAATGAGACTTTCATTTCACAATGAAATGAAAGTGGATTCAGTGGATTCAGTGGATTCTTACTTCAGCCATCTTGCCTAGACAGACACACCAAGAAAGAAAGGCAATTTGGGCACTCTGGGCAGATTTAATGCAACAAATTTCCTGAGAACAGGGAAAGCTGTTAGTACATTAGGAGGCCTTTTCATAACTGACCTAAATGGAATTATCAAAGCATTTGTGTCACTGTCCTCCCAGGCAGCTGAAAAGTGGAAGAGGCACTCCACTTGGGAAAGGCATTCCAGAATATGGAGGCCCCATGGGAATCCACTCACACACTGTACACCAGCTTTTCTTACACACCAGCCCAGCCCAGCTGTTTCCAAAAGATCTTTGAGGAGATAAATCAGTGAATTGGCTCCTGGGAGCCTGCAGTTTCTCATATCAGGAAACGCCCACTGTCCGAATCCATTTTTCACACCTCAAGGTGATGATTTACAAAAGTGCAAAAATGTTTTGCTTTTATTTTTAACTATTAGTTTGTTTTGTTCTTGTAAATCAGCTNTAACTTGAGAAACTGATTCTAAAATTTATATGGAAAGGCTAAGGACCAAGGAAGCTAAGACTTTTGAAGAAAAAGAACAATGTGAGAGACACACCCTAACAGATACTAAGATATATTATAGAGTCATGGTAATTAAAGCAAGGTGCTATTAGGACAAAAAATAAAATAATAAAATAAAATCAATAGTGGAATAGGTAAGAGAGCCCAGAAACAACTATTTGCGTATGTGGAAATATTGGGTTGTCGGAAAAGTCATGACATATTTTTTCTATGTTTTTTGTTGCAAAAATGTGTCATGACTTTTCCAACAACCCAGTGTAATACATAAACGAGGGAACAGATGGACAACTCAATAAAATGAGCTGTGACAATTATTATCCACATGGGAAAAAATTGAATTTCTACTTCACACATAAAAATGAATTCTAAATACATTAATGTGAAAGAACAAAACTGTAAAACTTTTAGAAGGAAATATAACTTCCTAAGGCAGGGTAAGGTGGAGAGTATTTGCTAAATATGACCCTCCCTCCCCCCAAAAACACAAATCATAAAAGAAAGTTGACTTTTTAGGGCACTTTCATAAATAATGATAAAATTGCTATAATAGTAATTACCATTTATTATTTACTCACAATATTCCGGGACTAGGCTAAGTGCCCTAACCCTTATATCCATGTGGGGAAGTGCCATTGGTCCCATGTTACAGATGTGTGAACAAGCACTCAGAGAAGTTGTATCCAAGGTCACACCACAGGCAAGGATCCAAACCGAGATTCAGCCCCAGGTCTGTCGGGCCCCAGTTCCTGTTCCTTTGTCCCTATACCTTACTGTCTCCCTGACACTGTATAGTAGAATTAATAACACCCAATGTGTGTGTGAGGCAGGGAGATATGCCCAGGTAAATAACTCCAATACAAACAAGTGTTAGGGTATATATACCCACCCATCTTCCCAGCTAGTTCATGTTAGATATTCAGTAGATGATTGAAAAATAGGAATTTCCTTTCTGCCTGTCACCCTGGGAAGACAAAGTAGCTGGCATATGATAAAGAAGAAGAATAGCCACAAACTGTGGGGCAGCTGAAATTTGATAGACACACATATGCACCCGCTGCTGATCTTACGCTATTTTATGAATTCTGTAGCCAGACTTTAGCTGGAGGGACCCCGATGGGCTGAAACTTGGCACGTTTTTTGTGCAGTGAGTGAGGTGAAAAGAAATCTAGGGGTATAAAAGGAAAGGAGCTCTGGAGTATGTGGGAAACTTTTCACTATTTCATTATATGTCAAATGGTATACAAAATGTATAGCCCATTCAACCAAGTATGTGACCTTGGTTACAGCTAAGGAAAATGGATATTTTGTATAATCTTTTTGCTTTTTATTGTAAAGTGTTACAAATTACCTTAAAATAAAGAAGTATCTAAAGTAAAAACAAAATCCACTCCCTTCCACTCCCAACCCTTGTTAACAGTTTGTGGTGAATCCTCCCAGATATTTTTTTCTATGTATATATAAACATTTCAAAACACTTACTAGATGCAGTGTAGTATCCTGGATTGGGTCCTGGAACAAAAAAAAAAAAAAAAACAGTGGGAAAACTTAGAGTGTCCAAATAAAGTCTGAAGTTTGGTTAATATTAATGCAACAATATCAATGTATCAGTTTTGACAAATGTATCGTGGTTATGTAAGATTTTTGTTAACATTAGGGGAAACTAGGTGAAGAATACATAGGAACTCTGTGTACTCTTGGCAACTTTTCTGTAAACCTAAAATTATTCCAAAAGAAAAAGTTTATTTTAAAGATACACTTTAAAATGGGGATCATATTTGACATTGTTATGCAAATTTTGTTTCACATAACAAGATGTGGGGACATCTTTTATGTTGAAAATCATTCTTTTTGATGGCTGAATATGACATTATATGGATGTACCACAATTTATCCAACCAATGTCCTCTTGCTGAACATTTAGATGGTTGCAATTTTTCCACTGCTACAAACTAGAGCTTCCTTGTATGTCTATCTTTCCATGTTTGCATGGATATTTCTGTAGGATCAATTCCTAGAAGTGAATTTGTGGGTCAGAGGTATGCATGTTTAAACTTTTCACAGATAGTACCACTGAACCCATTTTTGTTTCCATCAACCTTATTTGGACATGTCTGCCCCTCAACACACACACACACACACACACACACACACACACACACACACACACTCCTGGCCTTTATACTCCTTATTCCTGATGTCCACACTAATCCAGCAAGGGGGGCTATTCTTCATGCTACATTCCCTATCCAGCCGGTTATTGTGTGGGGCACGTTTTCTGCCAGCTCTGGGGAAGGCCATGTTGTATACCCTGAGATGTAGATCAAAGACCCTATACTTGAGTGCCTTTCTCAGTGGGCAAGCTGTATCGACTGTTTCTTAAACTACAAGCAAAAGACTATTTGAACACTTTCTAAGAGGCTCTGTGTGTGCCTGACTGACAGGTGTTTAGACCACCTGCTCACCTGCTATAGTCAGGGGTGTGGTGTTACAGTTTCAGGGGCATCAGATTGTTCTAACAGAACCATCAGGATAAAGAGTGATAGGGACTGCTGGGGCAACCGGTTAGCTCAGGTGGTTAGAACACAGGCTCATAACACCAAGGTTGCTGGTTCAATTCCCACATGGGCCACTAAGCTGCACCTCCACAACTAGATTGAAACAACTACTTGACTTGGAGCTGATGGGTCCTAGAAAAACACACTGTTCTTCAATAAAATTTCTAAAAAAAAGTGATGGGGACTGCTAATTTGGAGAGGGTGGTCAGGAAAGGACATTCCAAGGGGGTGACATTGAGCAGAGACTTGAATGAGGTGAGGGAGTGAGTCTGAGTCATGCAAATATCTGGGGGAAGACAGCTCCAGGCCAAGGAAATTGCACGTGCAAAGGCCCTGAGGCAGGAACAGGCTTGTGTGTTCAAGGAATAGCAAAGGAGGCCAGTGCGGCTGAAGCAGAATGAATGAGAGGGGTGATGGGAGATGAGCTCACACAGGTGGCCAGGGACCAATTCATGAAGGGCCTTGTGGGCCTTTAGATCTAATTCTAGTGGGAAGCCACTCAAGGATGAGGGCAGGAGAGTAAAAAATGATGCTTGGTCACTACGCAGAGAATGTATTTCGAGGGGCAAGCATGGAAGCGAGGAGACCAATTAGGCTACTGCCAAGTCCTGGTGCAATATGGTGATGGCATGTATCCCAGCAGAGTCTCCACTTCGGCACTACTGACATTTTAGGCCAAATAATTCTTTGTTGTGGAGGCCTGTCCTGTGCATTGTAAGATGCTTAGCTGCATTTGCCCAGTTATAAAAGCAAGAATCTACCCTCCTCCCCAACTTGCCACAAGTATTTCTAGAATTTGCCAAATTCCCCCTCGGGGGCGAAATCACCCTAGCTGAGAAATGTATTACTGTATTAGGATGACATGGAGGAGGTAAGAAGAGGTTGACTCTGGGTATATTTTGAAGTTAGGGCTGAAAAGATTTGCTGATGGAATGGATGTAAGAAAAAGAATCAAGAATGACTTCTTGGGCTGGCTGGATGGCTCAGTTGGTTAGAGTAAAAGCTCTGAACAACAGGGTTGCCAGTTCGATTCCCACATGGGCCAGTGAGCTGCCTCCGAGCTGAGCTGCCACTGAGTTGGTGAGAGCGTGTGCTCTTAACAACAAAGTTGCCGGTTCGACTCCCGCATGGGATGGTGGACTGCGCCCCCCCCTGCAGCTATATTGAAAACGGCGACTAG